AGCATCGTTGACGGTGATGGTGACGGTGGCGGTGACGCTGTCGCAATAGATGGTATGTACTTTCACTTTAATACTTATTAATTATAACAAAATGAATAAAATTTTGAAAATCTTAAAGCCCCCTTTTCGGTCTATTATCGGATTCCGCTGGTATGCTGGGAACAATATTTTTGAGCAATTTAATTTTTTTATTTTCAATTTTACATACATACAGGGTGTCCCAGAAGTAACGTACCAAACTTTAGGGGAAGGTAGGTGGGAGGGTGAGCTCCCTGATAAACAAAAAATTTTCAGGTAAAAGTGTCACCGTTTTTGAAATATTAACATTTTTTTGAATTAAAAAAAAATCGTGCCTTTTCATGCATTTTCTTTAACTGCATCTACAAACCAGGCTATACTTAGGGCCGTTTTCTAATGTAAGCAGTAAAGGTGGCTTTACTAATAGGGCAGATAAATTGTACCTCACTTTAAAGTGTTTTCGTTTTCTAATTTGACCGGTAAAAATAAATTTATTATTCCGTAGAGTGAAACTTCACTACATTTCCGAGAGTGAAACCTCACTACATTCGTCATCAAATTTCAAAGGTTGGCAATGCAACATAAGCAAATATAGAGCAAGAACAACTGTTAGCAAAAACCAAAACCTTGGTTGCAATATCTAATATATCTGACTCAGGAACCAAAACCGAACCAAAATTTAAAGTTGGGTACAACTTTTTATAGGTTGCATCGGGTGAGCAACAATTTATCGATTCGAGAAATTAATGCGCTGATGAGAAAACCAAAACTCGTATATCGAGACGATAAAGTGGCCGGTAATCTAAAGGTTAGATGAGAAAACGGCCCTTAGTAAGTTTTTTATGTAAAATACTTCCAGATAGTTGCTTCTCCATACTCAAATGCAATGCAGTTAAAATATATTAAGGAACCATCATAAAATTAGGACTATTTTGGGATTTTTAACTTTTTGATATTTTCTTCCCCAACTTTGACTATCTCTGGTGAAAAAAAAATGTACTGAGCTATAACTTTACATTACATAAAAAAATTGCTCATTTAATAAAGATTTCGGAAAGGTGCCACTCTTACTGTTTCGAATAGAAAAAAAAGTTATAGCCGCTTTTGTGGGCAAAGGACTAAGACACGCTAGAATGTATTTAACTGATTTAAATTTAAGTTGCTCTTGTTACCGACCAATGACATGCTAAATAGTACAAAGGTACATTATTACCTGCTCCTGAACACGTTTATGCAAGGCCCAGTAATCAGTGTTTGTGCTGAGGAGTTAGATGAACGTTCCAAACGTTGCTTTTCAATCGCTTGTTTTGTATGGAAAAAGATTTTGACAATTTATATTTTTTTGCGAGAAGAAATTAAAAATATTCGACATTTTAGAGACCGAATAATTTGAAAAAAAAAAGAAAATCAAATCAGCTGCTCTACTGATACTACCTGTTCAATGTGCCTCGGGTAGTACAAAACATTGCAACGAAGTACATTTAACTGTACTTCGAAGTACGAGTACAACGGCTCAAAAAGAAGTACTGTACTTCCGAAAGAAGTATGGTTGGTCACATTAGTCATCCCTCGTCAGGCTATGGCAAACCTCTGAGTGTATTCAGCTATGGAAAACACATCGTCGTTTAAAGTGCAAAACCGCGTATCAACAAAATGCAAAACCGCGTATCAGCAAAATGCAAAACCGCGTATGTGAAGTTGTAGAAATTATTTTCTAGAGCGTAAAAACACTCATATTTCAAAATGGTTCTCTTTTTTATAAAGCAATCGCATTTCTAGATAGTATATTTCAGGACGAATGGATAAGGATTGAGCCAAGAGCTTGTGTGAGCAAATCCCATTTTTGGCAGCCAATGTCAGTTACGCGGTTTTGCAGAATGGCGATACGCGGTTTTGTACTTTAAACGACGATATGCGTAACAAAATGCATAACCAAAACAAACGCGAAATATATCTCCCATACAACGTCGCTGAAAATTTTTCGGGATAAGTTTATCGCGATAAGCTGTTGTTAGTGATCGCGAATGGATTACTTGCATCGTTTTTCCCATTTATGAGAGGCCGACATCGGCAATGCTCGGACATACTTCTCATATTCGAGTGAGAGGAGATTTCTTTGCTTTTTTCGATCGTGAATGAAAAGCAGCGGGAATTTGTCGATCGCATTCCGAATGTGAGAGATGATAAATTTGTTTGCATTTTTCACTCGCGGTAAAATAATGCAAAAATAATTGTGGAATATTCTTGATCGCAAACTTGCGTGTGTCACAAAGCAGCATTTACATTCTGAATATAAATAATATCGGTGGAGAATTTGGGAATACTGAAACCTTAAGTAAAAATGAAGTGTTTAATGCAGACTAACTGCTTTAGGGAATCTCTTCTCAAGGCGAGACATGTACTACATATTATTCTTTTCTAATTTAGGAATTTCGATAATGCCATAATTAATCGCTGGAAGAAACCATTTATGTACATGTGACTATACTTTTTTTTATTATCTAGCTCAGTTTACGGGGGGAAGGGGGGTTGAGTATGGTAAGAAAATAACTTGTGTCAAAACCAAGCTAATTGAACAATCTTTTTGAGTATGTAGTTGTAGTAGCATTGATCCACAAGTTGCATTTTGAAGTTTTCTGTCAGCATTTTCATTAGATTTTCGCGAATAAAAGCCTTGAATGTACTAAACCTGCGCTCGGCGTGAGTTGATACAAGTGGCGCCCAATTTAAATATGGAACGCTTAAAACTTTCATACAATCCTGTACAATTAAAGGTAGAAACCGCAAAAAGGCAAATATCTTAAAAAGGGCAAAAAAAAGGCAACATCAAATGTGTATATATGGAATCAGGGAAAGCTAAGTCATGTACATTCTTAATCGAATATACTCTACCTCTTTAGCAGAAAAAAGGATATTTCCATAAAATCCGTTCCCTGCTTATTCCATTATGCAAAATCTACATATCGCACACCATCTTCAAAAGAGGCACAACTTAAAAATCAGATCCGAAATATAACTGCTTGTAAATGGTACGGATTCAACACAATTATGTAATACAAAAACAGGTATAATAGTAGTTTTCTAGTTAGAGAATATACATAATCATGAAGAATAAAATATTTGAGTTATTATGGTGCGCGGTATGTACATACATTGAATATTTTAGCCAAAAACAATGCATAGTATGTATTTCGTGCTATCAGATAACCTACTTACTTACCCCAATGCCAACCAATGGAAGAGGTTTTCTATGAACTTAAAAGTATTGTTCATATGGATGTCTGTTTTAAGTTCAACAACTGAAAGCTTATTTTATTAATGTAATTTAACTAGAAATTATGAATGTATAAAACAAATATTAACAGTTCTCGAAACGTTGATCGATATATTTTTTTTTAATTATAGCAGATTTTTAGTTATAACCCATTGCAAGTATACTTATGTATTTTAATTTCAGATATTCTAAACGTGGAAGAGAACTTTAATCGAGTTTGGGGTGGAATCAATGATGTTATTAAGAAGTACATTACTGAAATGAATTTAAAATTCGAATTACAATTTTCAGCAATGGCGCGCGAGGTACGAAAACGCGATGAAATCATTGCGAACCTACAGTCAAAAATTAGAAATATTGAAACGAAATCTTCCTCGCCCCGCATAAAAAACGATCAAGATAAACATGGCACAGCAAGGGATGATACAGACCCGAAATCAGTAGGCCATGCGAGTTCGAGTTCGTCGGCAGAACTTTTGTTTATGGTAAATTCACATACTACTGTAATATACATACAAAATACATAAAAACATTATTTTGCAAAATGATAAGCCAAATTATCCAATTATTCCAGAGAGGCGACTCATTAGACACGGTATTTTTGTCATCCCCACCGCAAGTACAGCGCCACAGTTCTTCGCCAATTTTTAAAAAGCTATTTAAGGATTCATCCAGACACATTTCCACACGCAGCTTGTACAAAAATAACTCGGAAGAAAATATTGCATTTGAAAAACTACATAAAGGAAACTATATTGCTACTGTATCAGATGTTTCAGGAAATTTAAATAGGCAAGATAGTGTTGTCCTTGATATTTGTGACAGTTCGAGCTCCAGCTCATCCTCAAGTAAACTTAGTGTTAAGTATGAAGATATGGAGCAAAAAAGAAACGAAAATGTATTTGCTAATGTACACCATAATGACTGGGAGGTAAAAATGCTTGCTGTAGAAATGGCTAAGCAGGAAAGAAAGCGTGCAAATTCAACAGATTTCAAATATAGCAATTCTATTTTAAGGCGGCGTCGAAAATTTAGTGATACTGAAACAGATATTAGTGATACAGAAGCAGATGTTGACGCTTTAACTTCATCTAGACCTAGAGCTTCAAGTTTGGATCAATTTAATTTAAGGCATGGTTTCGGAAAAGGCGTTTTTAAAGCAATTAGTATCGATCGTGATAAAAATAAACTTTGAGATTTGCCAAAATATTTTGTGGGGGTGATGGTGTTGCTAGGATTAGTCAAAACGATTCCAATAACATTTGAAGTATGACTGAAAAGTATTTACTAAAAGACAACATAATGAAAAAATTCGAAAAATATGAAAAATTTTAAAATTGACAAATAACAAACCACGTTTTTTGTCGGAACTAGACAAAACAACGCATGCAGAAAACAGTACTTAGACTACATGCCGTCCATTGTACTGTTTTCATGTTCCTTCTAATCCGTTTTAAACGATTTACGAATAAACCTAAGCAGATTGTTGGCTCGCTACGTTATTAATCCGGTTCTAGCTTGTTCAGATCGTCTTATATATTTAAGAATGCTAGAGATATGTGCGCACATTTTATGCCAGTTCTCTGTTGATTTCAACATGTAGTCTACAATGATATTAGTTACTATCCTATGTGTTCCGTGTTTTCAGTAAGACCTGTGCAGGTTGGACAGTGTGGGGAATAGGGACACGAATTTCGATACGATACGATACCATATCGATACTTTTGGCATTCGATACCGATATTTTCTACTCGATAGTTTTAAAACGATATTTTTTGGAATCGAGTACCAGAACCCTAGTATCGTATCGAATGTCATAAACTCACATTCCAACACTGTAGGAAAAAAATTTTAGAATTAAAAAAACATGCTAAGTTGAAAAAATATGCATATGAAAGAGCACCAAATCAACTCGTTTTAAATTTGAGTATATACGTTATAAAATATGTGGTTTTTTAAGAAAAAAAAAATATTTATTTTATATGTTCCGTCGATGGCCTGAACCCGGACCCTCTTGGCCGCAACCAATTGTATCAAGCGTCTTTGCACACTCAGCTACAGTTTGAATCAACATCACAGCGCGTGAATAGTGCATTATGTCATACCATGTATGTGTGTATGTGTTGTCACCGCTGTGCATGCTTTGTATACCATATACTTTCTTAATTACATATGAAAAAGCATCCGAGACGTGCAAAGCGCCATCCGTGTAGTGAAAATGCTTCATTTTAATACGGGCGTATTTGAATTGAATATTTCCATTATATGTACGTAGTGTATGTATAATGGAAAAATCCATTTTGTTACGACTTTTCATTTGATTTAAATACGAACATTTTTAAACGGTAATCAAATAAAAAAATGTTATTCTTACAACGCGTTATTTTTCTCAGTGAAGGATAATGTTATTAACAGCTCAACCTAATAAATCCCGGCGAGAGTTTTTCTACGCACGCACGCAAGTTGTTCTCATTTGCGTGCGTGATTTCTCAGAGTTGCATTTCTGTCAAATTTACAGAAGTTTGCTGAGAAAAATTTGAATTCATAGTCGCGCCAAAATGCCAAAAAGACAAATCTTGGAATTTGAGTTAGCTTTTTACGCACGCATATAAGGTTGGCCTGTAACAATTCTTCCCGATATAAATAGGGCTTTAAAGTGCAGAAATTTGTACTATGGTTAGGATTGCATGTGGTGGGATTTGAACCCGCGGCCTCGGTGCTTAAGTCAACACCTCAATCTCTACTTGTTGTAATAATAATAAAGTCCGGCGCTTACACAATATGTTAGTGTTTGGACGAACTTCTCCTCCGATTTTTCGCGTGGGCCTTAATGTTGTTGCACAAAGGGGATGCCTACAGTTTTTTGTCGACTCTGAACGGCGATTGTATTTTATGGGAAGCTGTTTTTCATTTTCAAGGTTGGCGCACTTCTAACCACTACACCCAGCGGCCTATATGCGAGCGGCAGATAAATTTTTTGGTTTTTGGTATCGATATTTGGAATATCGAGTCTTTTTATTCCCATATTAATGGGTACCCGATATTTTTAAAGCGATACTTTAAATGAGTACCATATCGATACTTTCGGTTCGATATCGTCTCCCTAGTGGGGAATCTCCATGCCCAAATATTTTTAGATACTCTCCATAGGCGCCATGTCCCGAAAGAAACTGTAGTTTAAGTCACCGTGGGCTCCAGCTCCAGCCAGGTTTTAATGCATGGAATGAGCTTATGAGTCCACCTACTCTTTTCCGATTTATCCTAACGCTTTTGCCAGATCTGCCTAGAGCGACATCTTTCCTGCTCTGCGACTTCTTTTCAGTTTAAATTGGTATTTCCAACAGATGTATGTACGCTTATACACTCTTTGCATCTCGTTTGCCAGGATACGTACGGGAATCAGTCCGGAAATTACGAATGATGCTTCTTTAGATATTGTTTGGAATCAACAAATTAACCCTAGTTCGCTTAGGCGATATACAGATGTGGGTATTTTCGCATAATATTTTAGGCTCATTGTTTCAGCCCAAAATGGGAGCACCGCAGAGTAAGAATGAGCTCACCAGCTTACTAAGCAATGCCCTTCTACAATGTTTGGGACCGCCGATATTTGACATCATTCTAGATAAGCATGCCTATAAATTTTATGCTTTCTTTGCTGCATATTCCAGGTGGGCCTTAAAGTTTAACTGGCCATCAATCATTACCCCCACATATTTGCAATGCGCGCCTATCACAATCAGGTGTTTGTGCCACGTGAAGTGACCAGCCAGCAGTCCAACAAGTTTTCTGCAGTCCGGTCTGCTCAGTGCGAGTAAAAAAAAACTAGGTAGACCTTCTGAGATTGAAGGCAACATGAGTTTTGCCCACCTGCAGCCCCTCCATTCCTCTCAGTCATTGCTGAGCGAAGTATTCACCCAGTTTCTGATGGTGACTTAGTTGGACGAAGGTGGGAGTGCTATGGCTGGTCGCGGACCGAGGAATGCCTGGTCTGATCCTACTCGGGCCAAATGGTCAGATGTCTCATTACCAGGTACTTCCGAGTGACCTGTCATCCAGAGTAAAGAAATCTCGTTATGTTTACTAACATATTTTAGTCGAGACTTGCATTGCGGAACTAGTTTGCAATGCAGCTAGCTAGTGCAGCTTTGCTATCACTGCAGACACGGAAACTCCTTCCCCTCCACCAATTTTCCACCACATAGTCCGTGGCCTTAAGGATTGTGAAAACCTCAGCCTGGAAGTCCGAAGCATAGTCTCCAAGCAAAAAGTGAAGCGTATCCCCAATAACTTCGACAAAGACCCCAGATCCTGACCCAGAGTCAGTTTAGGGGCTATCTGTAAAGATTCGACAACGACTGAGTCCGGACTCACGCTGGCATTAAACCAGCATTCAGACTCAGGGAACTCAGCATTATAGAATCCCTCCAACAAAGGTAATGGTGGCATACTATCCTGTGGCATTGAAAATACACAAGTTCTTAGATCTCTGCCACCCCCCGGGATTTCCGTCTCGCCTGTTATACATACCAATATCCGTTTCTTTTTTAGTCTGCAGGTAGCTTCCCGCGTATGAAGACAAAAACTGACGGTAAGTGCAGCAGGGCATCAAGAGCAGCGCCAGGTGTTGTAGAGAAAGCTCCCGTACAGCACACCGCAATCGTGCTTAGAAGTTTATCAAGTAGATTCCCCACGCTATTGAATGAGAGTCTGCTCTACCATACCACTGACGCGTAGCTGATTATGGGCTTGATTGTGAACAGCTTTTCAATATACACAGACGAACGAGAGCACAAAGCGTGTTGCCCGAGCACGAGCAACTCGGTGCCCCTCTCCTTTCCTCGTCACGCTCTCTCCTACGAACGCCGAGTTGCGGCAACAAAAATCGCCGTGTGTAAATGAAACGAGCAACACCAAAAGGGAATGTGAAAAATCGCGTCGACAAAAGTTTCCGTGTATAAACGCAGGGGCACCGAGTTGCTCGTGCTAGGGCAACACGCTTTGTGCTCTCGTTCGTCTGTGTAAATTGAGTTAGCGGTTCACAGCTACGCGTATATATTGGTAGACCAAACAGCGTGCGTTCATATATGTATGTAGCTACAAGTGGCATTGATGCCTTATCGAACATTCACTGCTATCATTCTCGTTCATAAGTGAATGTAAATGCTGCGTCAAATATTCGAGGAAAGTTGGTGTGGCTAGAGATCAGTGTTGCCAAACATGGGCTTATGGAGATATAAATCCAGAGAATTCCCTTTGGTGACAAATCCCACGTTTTGCCAAAGACCTGTTTACATTGCTAAAATGCTGTCAATGCTTTGGAGGTAATGTGCTGACGTGAGATTTCCACAATAGTTTCGTATCAGGGAACTGCAATTATTCGTGTTTATTTGATTGGTTGAATAGCACAAGAAATAGTGTTAGTGGATATTATTCATTGCAGAATATTCACACATATGCACTAACACTATTTTACGCTCGGCACACAAACCGAGAGCATGTACAATGACTAAGTTCTCTGTTGATATGCATTGTTGTAGTGCTCAATTCTCTCATTGAGCCATTAAACAAATTAGTTATACTGAAATGAGTAGGAGCACTAAGAAGCACCAATAGTTCAGTTGAGTGATTTTAGTGAATTTAGTAATTTTCGTCGTTTATAGTACGGATGCCCAAATCAGCACATATATATCAGCGGTGCTTGTCAAGCGCGGAAGCAAAAAGTTATCGGAAGGGGAAAACGAAGTCAACAGAATAGTAAGATTGTATGTGTGACAGTGATGGAAAATGAGTGTGCATAGTGCCATTTTCGGCCCATTCGGAAGTAGCCGGCACCTTCAGCACAATCGATTGATTTTCGGCACTATTTTTGCGTACCTCAATGCAACTAATAAATATTTATTTCAGATCCGCAATTAAAAATACTTTTCTTTACATTTAATCGTATGTGCCTAAATTGGTAAATGATATAAACATAGAAACGCAAGCAGAAGAATCTCGCTTCCACATTCGGCATATGCGCTTAACATTTTTGTTTAAACAAATTTGTCGAAATTTCATCTCTAAAGCAAATATTAAATATCATTTAATATATTTTAGATTTAAATAATCATTTTTAGTGGTGGGTGAGTCCGAGATGTTTAAATGATCGAGATAGTACATTCAATTCGCGTAGATTTTTGAGAACTTTTTTCGTTGAAGGTGTTGCACTTTTTCTTCCATACTGAAATTTGTGTACATCATTTATCATTGTCTAACAAAAACTACAAAATAAAGCTTAATTTAAAATATTGGAATAAAAAACAACAACGCTACACGCGCATTCATCCATATAACATAAAATGCGAACGTTCGTTATATGGAAGAAAGTGCGCAATACCGCAAACAGAAAAATTCAAAAAATCAATGGTATTTTCTAGACACTTCAAACACATTGCTTTCACATTGTTAACCCAAAACATCTCTACAAATTCTGAAGAAAAACTGTGAAAATTTGATGAAACTTTGTTGATTTTTTTCATTCTTTCAAGTTTCGATTTATTCGCAAGGTTTTTGTTTGATAATGAGCTACGATTTTATAAAACAATAATTAAAATTATTTAAAAAAATAAAACAAATACCGGGTGACCGTCT